GCCACTGGCAAAAAAAATCTCTGGAGACGATCCACTGGTCTGGCACACTTAGAGGCCTTAAAAGCATGTTTTGCGCACTGCAGTCCCTTGACAAGGTCTGTGGAGGGTTCAGACAGACGTGCCGAGCGACCGTTTCTTCCTTTCCACAGAACGGGTCGTCTGTTACTGCTCTTGAACAAAGTTTAAGGGCAGTTCCCGACAATCTGGCCTCCACGGAACGTTCCCCACACCGGCGCATCTGATACAAATGCCCTGCGCGTTGGAGAATTCTGCACCATCTTCTAGAGCAGGATTTCCCCAATTCTTCTAGAGCAGGACACCCACAGACACCTTCGTTGGAGCCCACCAAGTGTTTTCAGAAAGCGAGCGGGAACCAGGGGTCATTTCCTGCAGGAGCGTACAGGAGCGGAGCTCCGGCAGGAAAGAGCCCAGGGGGCAGGCACATGCAACAAGCCCCACCCCCTGCTCCCAGCAGCCCTCAGTCAGAGCAAGAAGCAGCCAGGTAAGTTGCAGAGCTCCTCCCTCGGCTCCCCGGTCCAAAACAGTCCAGTGGCACCTTTAAGACCAAGTTTTATTCAGGCACAAGCTCTCCCTCCTCTGCTAGGGCAGATCTGCACGTCCTCTGTCCCCCCCAATAGCTAGCAATCCAAAACAGTCCAGTGGAGCCTGAGCGGTGGGTGTTGCCTTCTGACACACTTCTGGTGATGTCAGGGGGTGCGGCACATGCTAATGAGTTATGCTAATGAGCTCCTGCACCTCTTTTTCTACGAAATGACCCCTGGCGGGTACCATGTGGGGGGTTTGCTCAGCAGGGATTCTGACTGGACAATGACTGGCCATGTGGATTTGGAACGGGTTGCTCTGGCAGCTGCCGCCACCACGGCACGAGGATCGTCTCCGTCTGACTGGAGATGAGCTGTGCGTGCGCAAGAAGGTGTTTTCAAACAACAGGCTCAGTTTAAGGTTTAAGAGCTTCTGCTTGGAACGCTGAAGACCTCACTGTGAAAAGGTATGCATCACATCACTCCCTGAGGCTACGCCTCTTCGGTGTGGTGGTTAAGTGTGCAGACGCTAATCTGGGAGAGTTGATTCCCCCCACTCCTCCACTTGCAGCTGCTGGATGACCTCGGGCAAGCCACAGTTCTGTCAGAGCTGTCCTCGAAAAAGAGCCGTTTCTGTCAGAGCTCGCTCGGCCCCGCCGACCCCGCAGGCAGAGTTCCCTCTAAGCTGAGTTAGTGTGAGCTAGCTCCGTTTTTTAGCCTCCGGCTCACAGATTTTTTGTCTTCGCTCAGGAAGGGATGGCTCCAGAGCAAACTAATTGATGCAGTAGCCAAATGGCTTGCACACAACTTTAATGCCAGGTGCTCACAAGGTAGAATGTTTGCTCACAAGACTCCACAGCTTAGAGGGAGCATTGCGGTGTTCATTGTGGGGAAGGGAAGGAAAAGGAGTTTGTAAGCCGCTCTGAGACTCTGAGTGAAGGGCAGGGTATAAATCCAATGTCTTCTTCTTGTGTGGCAGCCATGTTGTGGTTGCACCTAACTATCCAGTGTTCGAATAAGAGCATACGAACAGCCCTGCTGGATCAGACCAGTGGTCCATCTAGTTTGGCATCCTGTCTCACAGGGAGGCCAACCAATTCCTCTGGAGGGCCAACAGGGCACTGAGGTGGAGGCCTTCCCCTGATGTTGCCTCCTGGCTCTGGGATCCAGGGGTTTAGTGCCTCTGAATGTGGAGGTTCCCTGGAGTCCCCATGGCTAGCAGCCATTGATAGACTTACCCCCATGAATCTACCGAATCCCCTTTTCAAGCTATTTATTCCTGTGGCCGTCATGACGTCCTCTGGCAGCGAATCCCACATTTCTAATCACTCTCTGAGTAAAGCAGTATTGCCTTTTGTCCATCCTGAGCCTACTGCCCATCAGCCAAAAGTGCCCAGAGGCTCAAAAAGCTGGGGACCCTGTTAGAGTGATATACTTTCACACAAGAAGCAACAGACATGGGGGTGACTGGTTGTTAAGAGAGAATGCTGGCCTAAAGAGACCTTGATTGGATCCACCAAGGAGGTTCTAACATTCTTCAGCCAGAGGGCAAACGCCGTTTCTGAGGGCCAGTCCAAACAAGTCCGAGACAATTGACTGGCTCAGCAGGGGGCATCAATCTAAAATGTGATTAGAACAAAAGAGATTTACGTCAGTGGCTATTAGCCGCAAGGTATAGAGGGAGCTGCGGTGGCTCAAGTGGTGAAGACGCTGAACTGCAGGCTGTGGAAGGTCGGTAGTTCAGCAGTTCGAGACCCGGGTGTGCCGCATGACGGAGTGAGCTTCCATCTCTAGTTCCAGCTCCTGCCAACCTAGCAGTTCGAAAGCAAGAAATTGCAAGTAGATAAAT